GTCAAGAATTTTCATTTTTATCCAAACTCATGAAGATGACATGGCATGTGGATTTGCTGCCCCATTTTAATTTTAAGTAATAATGTTATAATATAATGTGTTAAGACCGTACTTGCCCAATTTTGACCCAAAACACTTTTTTTTTAGTGTTTATTTAACCATTACAAAGCTTATAGAGCTTTAAATAGTTGTTATTTTCTCCTTCTATACGAATAAAAGGTTTAATAAAAAGAAAGTTGAAAGAGAGAGAAAGAGAAAGATGGAGTTGCATTGGCAAAAGTGTCTATGAATTGTTATTATTCATCAAGACAATTAATATTCACTGCCTCTAATACCTTTTAATGTGTAACCTCTTATGCCCGAATAGTTATGGTAGAATAGTGGGATGAATTTATATCATTTCATCAATTTTATTATTGTAAAAAAACAAGTTATCCTGATACTTATAAATAAGGATGTTATGAAGGCGATGCCCAGAAAACAGAGTATGATCAGTTTCTTGATTAACAAGAAAACCACAAAGTAAAAGAAAATAGAGAAGAGAAAGATAATTCAAAGTGGTATAAAATTGGATTATTGTTTCAATTACATATTAAGGAACAATGTTTACAATTGAATCACAACCAAACCACTTTCTCACTCTAATTAGGATTAACATCGATTGATGGAGAAGTGGGAACTAGTATGCTATTTATAAGAAACTAAGCCATAGCTTTCAACAAACATAGTAAACAATTGGTCCAACAGACTATCCCAATTTAACATGCTAACAACCTAGCATATTTCAACAGTTGCACTAACTCTTTGACTTCGACAAAGTTTTCTACAACACTATCTTATAACCTATAAGCTACATAATCTTCCTTTCCTCTTTCTGCATACCCTTCAGGTTGCCTCATCATGATTGTTTTATCTAGATCACCATACCAGAATGATGTCTTTACATCCATTTGTCCAAGTTCTAAGTCAAACTTGGCCACCATGGCTAAAACAATTCTAATGGATTCATGTTTTACAATAGGTGAGAACACATCATTGAAGTCGACACCTTCTTTTTGAGTGAATCTCCTAGAAACCAACCTTGCCTTAAATCTCTTTGATACTACTTATTCGATTCCTTCCTTGACCTTGAAAATCCACTTACAACCGACTAACCTGGCCCCTGCACACTTTTCAATTAGCTCCCAAGTGTTATTATCATGAAGAGATTTCATCTCATCATTCATGGCTCTCATCCATTCAATATTATTTTGAATCCTCACAACTTCCTTGTAATCTCTAGGTTCTTCGTCAAGGACCTCACTTCAAGAAATTAAGGCAAAATCTATGAGATTTTCCTAACCAAGTCTCTAAGGTGGCTTAATGACTTTTCTCAACCTATATCTTGCCAGCAGGTGGTCATTATCAGTCTCATCATTGTCATGGACAACTTGTGCTTTTTCTTTGACTTCATCTGGGTTATGCAATTCAACATCATTATGTTCCACCTCAACAAGAATGTATTCATGTTCAAGCTCTTCTGTAGAGATCTCTGCATTTCGGCCAGCATCATCAGTTTTCTTGAACATAATTTATGCTTCATTAAAAACAACATATTGACTTATGATACACCTCTTGTGACATGGCTCTAGGCATCACAACCTATAAGCTTTGAGTCCTTTAGGGTTTCCAAGAAACATACATCTCAGAGCTCTATGTTCGACCTTGTCTTGCCTAATATGAGCATAGGATAAACAACAAAATACTCTAAGTCTATCAAGATTAGGTGGATTTCCCAACCAAAATTATTGAAATGTCTTCATCCCCAAGGTCGTCGAAGGACCTCTATTTATCAGGTATGTCGTAGTCACTGTAACCTCAACCCAAAACTCCTTCTTCAATCCTACACTAACCAACATGCATATAACCCTTTTCAAGATAGTTCGATTTAATATTTCAACTAGACCATTTTGTTGAGGAGTACCTATATTAGTTATGTGTCTTGCAATACCAGATGCATCACAATAGCTATTGAAAGCCTCATTGCAAAATTCAAGACCATTATCTGTCCTCAACCTCCTGACCTTCCTGCTAGTTTGGTTTTCGACCAGAGTCTTCTAACTTTTGAAATTTTCAAAAGTTCCATCCTTAGCTTTCTGAATGAATACCTACAACTTTCATGAGTAACCATCAACTATAGATAGAAATTATCTTGCACTTGCGTGTGAAGAATTTATTGCAGACCCCCAAAGATCAGCAAGAATATAATCAAGGGATCCATGTGTTCTTTGTTTACCTTTGTTAAACTTCACCTTGTAGAATTTACCAAATACACAAAATTCACAAAACTCTAGTTTTTCGACCTTGCCACCACATAAAATATTTTGTTTCGACAATTCGACCAAGCCTTTTTCACTGACATGGCCAAGTCTCTTGTGTTGTAGCTCAGTCTTTGACACGGGTTTATGGATGCCAAATCTATTGAACCACTTACAACCGTATTCTCAAGGGTATACATGCCTTGCCTCTTGATACCTCTCAAGACTTCCTTCGACCCCTTCATTACCCTTAGGATACTTTGCTCTCCTTTGAAACATATCATTTCTTTTTTAATTCACCAATAGAAACCAAATTCCTCTTAAGTTTAGGCACATATCCGAGATCATCCAATAGCCTTATTGACTCATCATGGAGCTTGAATCTTACAAATCTAATACCTGTAATTTTGTAGGTTTGTTGTTTCTCAGCAACACTGATCCACTATCTTGAAACATCTTTGTTTAGAGTCATGTGCCAAGTAGAACGTAAATCCATGATCCATTCCTTGCTAGAGTCGCTGCTTGAAACCACAAGGACATCAAATGATTCATAATCATCTCGCACAATGGTTGCATTACCATTATCCTTTCCACTATAATTATTTATACGTTCATGGCACATATTTCTTGTATGACCCTCATTCTTTAGAGATAAAACATAATTATAGGATTATTATCACCCTAAGAATTATGTAGAACTTTACCCTTATTCCTCTCAAACTTACCATATTTCTTTGAGAGCTTTCCTTTAACAGACAATCCTTCACCAACAGAAGATAGTTTATACTCCTTTCTTTCATTCAGGTCCTTCGAGTACAATGTTCATTGAACTTTTTTAAAGGTCAGAGACTCTCTTCCATACAAGAGGTTTTCTTTGAAGTGAGCATGAGATTTTGGTAAAGCACACAACAGTAACAATGCTTGATCTTCACCATCAACTTTGACCTTAATATCATCAAGCTTGTTGAACATATCCAATATCTCAGCCAAGACTTTGTCTTCACTCATCTTGAATGAATATAAAGCTTGCTTCAGGTAGAGACGATTGACCAAGGACTTGGTCATATACAAACCCTTGAGTTTGCTCCACACACTCGTTGCCATCTTCTCCTTCGAGACCTTCCTGAGAACCTTATCACCAAGGCTCAATATGATACCATTGTGGGCTTTCTCAATCATCATCATCTTCTCCATCTCCGTTAGGGTATTGTCCATCTTCTCTGATCCTTTCAACGCTTCTAACAAACCTTGTTGAAGTAGTAGAGATTACATCTTCAAGCTCCACAAAATGAAACCATTCACACCAGTGAATTTCTCAATCTTATATTTTGTTGACGACATCTTCTCATCCATGCTCACCACACCAATTTCTTGTGAAAGCGATGCCCAGAAAACAAAGTATGATCGGTTTCTTAATTAACAAGAAAACCACAAAGTAAAAGAAAAGAGAGAGTAGAAGAGAAAGTCAATTCAAAGTAGTATAAAAAAAATAGATTCTTAATTCAATTACACATTATAGTACAATGTTTAGAATTGAACCTCAACCACACCACTTTCTCGCTCTGATCAGGATTATCAAGGATTGATGGAGAAGTGGGAACTAATATGCTATTTATAAGAAAATTAAACTCTAACTTTCAACTAACATACTAAACAATTAGCCCAACAAACTGACCCAATTCAACATGCTAACAACCTAGCATATTTCGAAATGCTAACAACCTAGCATAATTTGACAGTTACACTAGTTCTTCGACTTCGACAAAGTTTGCTACAACACTAGCTTATTACCCATCAAATACAGTAAAGTTGAGTTAAACTCAATCACAATTCTAAGATGGTATCCGAGCTTATACAAAATCCATCAAATCATTTGCTATCAAATTTCTATTATCGGGTCGCCCACCAATTCAATAAGATTAATTAGGTTAAGTTAGGCTCAATCATGTGGAATGTAACACCCATGATTTTTTATTTATTTATTTATTTATTTGTGGATCTAGGTGACATTTGATAAATGTTTGGATAGATCAGAAAACAAATTTAAAGGCTTTCGACCAGGAAAACGGTAGCAATTTGATATCCAAATCTATTTCATTTTCCATATTTGGGAGCAGGCATGCATCTTTGTTCATATATGTTTTCTGTTTGAATGGCATAAAATAGGTCAATCTCAACCAAAATAGCTGCTGCTTTACTGGTTTGTGGTTTCGGCATTAATCAGTGTTTCTGCATAATCTTGTTTATGCTACTGTGTGTTTCTGTTTTACACGTTATTCTGCACTGCACTGTCTTTGGGATTCTAACTGTTTGTTGGCTGTTTTTCGGTTTCATTACTTAATCTACGCATTTACGAGAAAATTACATGAATTTGATAATATTACAATGCAATTACACTAGTTAAAATAAGCCATTATAATGCTGCCATTGTTATACAACCAGAGATATGAATTGAAGAAGCATTAATAAACTCTCTCACACAAAAACCTTACAGAAAAAAAAACGCGAAACCTCTATTTGTGTTGGCAGCATTGTGGACGAAAACATTCAACAATACTTGAAAGTAAACCATAGATAATTTTCCTGTGTTCTTCAAAATTGACAGTTATAGTCTTCCTTCACATTTTAGTGAACAAAGATATATTATAACTTTTTCATAGTCAATTTTTATCTATGTTCCAAACTTTAGTGATCTTAGTCATCTCAATCAGCCCTTACTTTAGCCCCAAGAAATGCCTTCTGCATATAAAAGAAAGAGGACAAACATCTTAGATAAGATAACATAGATATTTTTAATAACGTTCGCGGTCGCGTAAAGACTTTCGCTGATTTGATTTGTATAGGTGTTGCAATACTAACCACAGTCGTCGCGATGTAAATTAACTATATAGTTTCTTTTTCATTATTAAAAACGGTGAACAACAGTATCAGCACATTTTGATACCGTTTTGTCGTGACCATTTTTGTGGTAACATACCATTATTGTTATATGACTAAACATGTGTCAATTCAGGATGAAACTGAAATATCAAGATTTTTGTAGGATCACTAACCTTGAATGAAGTGGCGCTCCTAAAACCAAACTTAGGCATTTTATGATCCACAGCTTTTAATATCTGAAAAGAACACATAAGTGTTTCATCAACACTCATCATTGCTCCAGCATTGTCAAACTCTCCACAGTAATTAGGAGCAGAAAAAACTGTCACAAGTTGTCTATTAGCAAAAAACTCATATCCATCTTCAACAACCTATACAAAAAAACAATACACAAGCAAGTTAGTTATTCTTGATTTTATAAAGATTAAATCGATACGTAACGCGAGATTACGAAAACGAGTCTTCAAAACCTGGTGAGCTCTGCAAATCAAATCAAGATCATGCCTATGTAGAAACTCGGCAACCTTACTTGCACCAAAAGTAAACGAAACGCCGCGTTCGTTAACTCCCCAGCCTTGAACATCTTTACTAGGGTCAGACCACAAAAGATCGCATAAAAGACCGCTTTCAGGAACTTCACTCGGCCTTGGCAAATTACTTATCTGTTTCAAACTATGCAATTCAGGCGACAATCCACCATGCATACATATAATCTTATCATCAACAACAGCTGCGACAGGTAAACAGTTGAAACAGTCTGAAAATATCTTCCATACTCTTACATTGAATCTCCTTTTACATTCGTCGTAAAATCCATAGACGCGATTTATTGAAGCGCATTCGTGGTTTCCTCTTAGAAGGAAGAAGTTTTCAGGGTATTTAATTTTGTAGGCTAGAAGAAGACATATTGTTTCCAAGCTTTGTTTTCCGCGGTCTACATAGTCGCCTAAGAACAAGTAGTTCGAACGAGGAGGGAATCCACCATGCTCAAATAGGCTTAATAGATCTGAATACTGACCATGGATATCTCCTAGTGAAATGAAGCAACATATTAGCCAATGGATTTAATGCATATGCTAAGAGGCGTCCGCTGCATATAACCGACGCTAGGTCTATATTAGCGTCGGCTTAACATCAACAGACGCTAGGTCTATATTAGCGCCGGCTTAAAATCAGTGTTGTGGCGGACGCCTCCAATACTACTATTTTCATATAAATATAAATAAAAAGATTATGCATGAGGTTGAAAAATGGTTTACCACAAATCTTAATTGGTGCCTCAAGTTCCAAGAGATTAGGCTGCTTCAAGAAGATATCTCTAGAAACCATACAAAGTTGCTTAATTTCTCCTTCAGAAAGCTGAACCTGTTTCCCAGGTCTTCCTCTAACATCAAGCAACCTATTAATGATACCATCAAGAACCCTTCTTTCCATGATCAAGTAAGTAGAATAAAAACATGAGATTGATGTTGTTGTGTGTGTTATATAATTGGCATCACTTTAAAACAAAGGCTATAACTTCAACTCATAGAATGGAATCAATGCTTTGGATTTTGATATACAATCTTTTGAGGTTCATATTTGGTTCTGATTCTAGGGCTATTGGAAAAGGGTGGTGGCAGTTTAATTGGAAAGATAAGAATATATTCGGTTGAAGGAAAGAGTAAACTTGAAACATAGACAAGATTTCATGTAGAAGCTTAATATAGATGTAGGGAGGGGAAGAATGAAGAATATAAGTTGAGGGGAAGGAATAAGGAGTAAAGTGGAGTGTGACTAATAGCTAACTAGGGAATGAGTGGACAATTGCATGATCCTAATAAGTTTTGATTCAATTTTATTTGTTGTGTTAAAGGAGAAATTGAGAGACATCAAGACTTTAGTGAAGAGAATATTGGCTAAGCACTCGTTGTTGAAGTGCTGTTTGTGGAGCCAAGTGTAAGAGTTTAAATTAATCCAATCTATGTGGTGAAACGCATATTGTGTGATGTGATGCAATATTTTCCAGATTTCTTTTTTTTTTTGTACAAGATTTTTCAGAATATCTATAAGAGAAATATGTGAGCATGAAATGGAAATTTGTCGAACACATTTGGCTGCTATTCTGCTATGTATGGCCGGAGTAGGGGTGGACGTTGGTTCGGGCCGGAGTAGGATCGGGTCTAAAACGTCAATTCAGCTCAACCCTCGAGTGACGTATTTTAGCCTAATTCCAACCAGTTTAACTATTGATTTTTTTGAGTTCGGGTTGAAACGGACTTAGATAACTTAACCAATTTATTTCGAATTTCATTTAGAGTAAGGCCAATATAACATCCAGTCTAAATAGTAAATTCAATAGTTTTTTTTTTTGTTGACATTTTAAAATTCTTATTAAAAGAGCTAATAATTGGGCCACTCAAATTTCAAGTCCCATTGCAACCCAATATAAATCATACCGTCTACATCTTGAAACTGAAATGAAACTTCATTTTTTCAAAATACAAACAAAATAAACTAAAAAACCCAACACTTGATCATTTTTAAAGATACAATAACACAAACCCTAAATCACACTCCTAAAGAAGCCAAAAATTAACATGTTATAGTAGTTCATGTCTTCAAAGCAATAGATTTATCTTTCGTTGTATCAAATCAACTCATCAATTGAGAACAAATCAATGTATGAAGGCAACATGAAATGAGACGGCAGTAAAAATGCATCAAATCAACTCATCAATTGAGAACAAATCAATGTATGAAGGCTACATGAAATGAGGCGGCAATAAAAATGAATGGGTGGGCGAGACCAGAGATAACGAAGGAAGAGGAAGTAAGAGAGAATGAAACTAGTTAGGGTTTTCTATGTGATTGCTATCTTAGATTCACCCCAATGAATTTTCTTTTAAGAATTTTATAGTAAAGTAGATCGTAAATGTGTGTCACCCACTTTTGTGGCGTGCACAATTTAGACAATGATTTAGGCACACCTAACAAATTTCTCCATAGAAAGTGAGTCGCCTTGTCACGGTGGGAGCCCCGCTAATTTATTATTTAGCAATCCAGTTTCGGATGTCGAATCATTATCTTTCAATACATGATTAACATCTATGTTACCTTTGCTTTCGCAGCCGACATAGATGTGTGAAATGTCACTCTGATTCTAAAATAAAAGCCAACTAATATTTTTCTTCTCGTAATTTAGATAGAGAATTCATTGGGGTTCTATCAATAGAATAGCTCTCACAACCTCTAGTCCTTTAGGGACTACTCACACATGGTGAGATTAACAACAATGAAAAAAAAGTAAAGGCATTACAAATAAGTAAATAAAGTAGCAACAAGATGAATGTAAAAGCAAGATTAAAATACTACAAATTTTGAAATTACAAAGGAAATAGCAACAAGCATAAACTTAAGCACTAGATAAATAACAAGTGATTTTGGAATGATGTAGTAAGAAGTGATCGACCAAGAGTTTTCTAAGTATCACCCTTAGGTATTTCTCCAATCTCTCCCCAAATGATCAAGCCCAAAGGTTCTATTTATACTAAAAATAGACTTAAAGGTTCTATTTATACTAAAACTAGACTTAAGTGTGGGTCTAGGTTTATTAGTCTTGAATGAGCGAATTGTTGGATTAAACCTTCAAACTGGGCCGTTCTTATTGAGTCGTATGACTAGTTTGAAACAGTTGCCCCTAGCCCTTGCTACCGAACACAGAGCTAGGATTATTGTAGAATGGTTGAGGTTGTGCTAGGAAGAGGTCGGTGGTGTGTTTAGTGGTCTTGGGAACATGGAAATTAAATTTGTGTCCTGTAATTATAACATTTCACCGAGAAAGTCCTTTATGTGACCCTAGACCTCAAGGGTAGAAAGGGGAGAGATCACTCTAGCACTTGAGTGCACTCGAGTATCGTTAAGGAAACGAGGTTGAACTTGAACCGTTAATAACACCTTCTGATATCACATTTATTCCAGAATAATATTCACTTTAATATCTGCAGCAAACATTCTTAAACAAATTTTTAGAGTATATAATTCTTTAATACAAAATTTCATAAGAGTTATCATCAAAACATAGAGATACTATTAAGAACCAATATGTGTTCTAACAATCTCCCCCTTTTTGATGATGACAAAAACATAGGAAATTTTGTTCAATAAACAATATAAATATAACTCCTCCTGAGATGATGAATCTCCCCCTGAATTAAATACTAAGAAAGAATAGAAACTTCCCTTTTTGCATGAGTATTCTTTTCAGAATCAGAGTCTGATTGTTCCAAAAATTAGATCTTGACTTTGGATGCATGTTTCAGAATCAGAGCCTGATAGGTTAAAACTAGATCTGGGGATCTCAGAGTTACTCTTAAAGAACTTGTCAGAGTTTTCAAATGTTCTGAAATACTAAGAGTTCACGTTAGTTAAAAATTATATAAATTTATATGTCTGAATTTTCATTTAGGTAGAGTTTATTTGAACAGTCAGATCCATTTTCTCCCCCTTTTTTGTCATAATCAAAAAGTAAAACTTTTAAAAGACAAATAAAAGGAACTACAGAAAAGATAAATCATGTAGAGAAAACATTGAGTCATTCATTCATTCAGAGCAAAATATACAAATCATCAGATAAATTCAAGTACATGTGCACAAACATTAGATACAGAAAAAAAATATAAACTAGGTTTGCTTGGACAGAATCATCTTCAACAAGTGAGTGATCTCAGATGAAGACTCTTCTTGCTTTGTCATCCACTTAGCCATGTTGTCATTTTTCTGATCTTGCTTGGACATCCATTGTGCCATGTCTTCAGTCTTCTGGTCTTGCTTGGCCATCCATGACTTAATCTCAGATTGTCCAGCTTCCAGAACTGCAATCTTATCCTCAAGATCTGGATTCTCTTTCTTGATCTCAGATGAAGAAGGTGGGGCAGAGTCTGAAGCAGGAACAAAGTCAATTTCCATGGGAGATGCAGAGTCATGAGTAACAGATCCAGAGGGATGTTCCACAATAGTCATAGCCAGAGGATTTTCTTCAGAAGCAGATTCAGTAGTCACTTCTGTATCAAATACTTCAGAAGATGAAGGAACATCTTCAAGAAGCAATGGTTCAGACCTTTTTACAGTCCAGATCATGCTTCTAGCAGTCTCAGCAAATCTGAGCTTCGCATCATCAGAACATACATTCTGCATATTTGAGGCTACAGTATTGAATCTGTTGATGAAGCTATTCCAGATAGCATCAGATTCATTTGCATCCATTATTGACAATCATCTCTTCTGAACAGAGCCTAAATGCATCTTTATTTCTTTCAGAAAACTTGCAAATAAATTATCAACATTCAGCCTAGTTTTTGGTTTCAGAAGGGTTTCCAAAGTGAAAGGCTTGGGTTGAGGTGGAGGTGGAATGGTGAATTCTGGAATAATGATTAGAGGGCTAGGATATGTTGGTTTCTTCTGAGCTGGCATAATACGAAAGAATGGTTTGATTCTGCGAATGGAAGGTATGGCAGCTTTTGGATTGTCAAAATAGGGAACATACGCAGATTGTTTTTGCTTAACAAGAAAAGGAACAAAAGCTGATTGAGGTGGTTGATCAAAAAAGTTTTCTATTTCAAGTCCAGATGGAAGAGGATCATATGGAAATGGTTTAGCAGAAGCAACTGAAACAAATTCAGATGTTTTTGGTTCAGGAGTGGGTTCAGAATTGGTAGTTTCAGAAGAAATGGGTAGATCTGGTTGGTTAGATTCAAATGTTCTGAGGGAAGGGGGTGAGATGAAATCTGGATGGATATCAGAATCAGATGATGTGGTTAGGGTGCAGGATGTAGAGGATACAACAAACATAGTCTTGAGAGGTTGAACATCCATAACCTCAGAGTCATGAATATCAGATTCAGGAGGATTGGATGGTTCTGGTTGAATCTCAGAAGGTTTGGATGAAGGAGGTTCAGACACAACTGGGTCAGATGCAACATGATCAGATGCAATAGGTTCATATGCAACTTTCTCAGATGCAACTGGTTGTTGAATTTCTGGTGGTTGTTGTGTTATAGGTTGTTGTGTTGTAGGTTGTTCTGTTGGTTTTGTTTGTGGTTCTGGAATTTGGTTTGCAGGTGTTATTGTTGTTGGTTCAGATTGAGGAATATCAGAAGATTTAAGTTGAGTAGTGGAAATAGGATCAGATGATTTTGGTGAGGAAGGAATTTTTGATGGTTTAGATTTTTGAGATGGAGCAGGAATAGTTTGATTTAGAGTGGGAGGAGGTTTAGGAATAGAACTAAATGTTGATTCATTTATAACAATTTTAGAGAAAGAAGATACAGATGATTTAGTACCTTTAGTCTTTATGCGCTTGGTGGGAACAGAGGGAACTTCTCCAGAAACTTTTCTCTTGACCTGCTTCTGTGGCTTGTCAGCAACTTTTGGCTTCTTCTGAGCAGCAGCTTCTT